CCCCCCTCCTGGGGCTCTGTCCCATGTCCTGACCTGCACTACAGCCCATGCGTGTCCCTCAGGAACCTTCGTCGGTCTCTGCCCCAGTCACACCAAGGGGACATCTCCCCCCTCTCCACCTGACGCACATTCCTGTCTCCTCTGAGCACCCCAAGGCTGCAGCCTGTTATGGTGCCCTGCCTGCTCCTCGAGCTCTTGCAGCTTTGGGACCGTTGTTTGTGCTCTCCTGTCCCTTTTCCCCCCTCATGAGTCCTGGCTCTGTAGGAACAGCCTTGGAAGCACCAGTGCCTGTAGCCTGGCCTGACACCCCCATCTTCCCCTGGGGTCCCTCAGCAGCATCATGGGGCTCTCAGGGGTCACCTTCTCCTGCCACAGTTGATGACTGCGATGGTGACATCTCTGAAATGCTCCCTCCCTCTGCTCCCTTGGCTGCTTGTCAGACCCAGCTCTGCCAATGTGCAGCGAAGATGTGGAACAATACCGTAGCCCTGTATCCTCGATGCCCCCGTGCCCCCCAGCCTGTCACAGCCAGAGCCAGCTCACCCCAACCCTCCCCCCAAACCTGTGTGTCAGGACTCCTCTACGCTCCTTGGGGAGCTCGGTCTCCCCATGCCCCCCTGACTGAGCACCCCAGCATAGGCAGCCTCCAAACCCTGTGCCAGGCACAGGCTTCCTGCAAGGCTGCCCAGACCCATCCTGTGAGCAAACCTCTGGCTCTGACTGTCCCTGCCGCACTTCTGGGGGAGCATGTCCAGGGAGAGGGGACATGTCCGGACCTGCCTGGCTCTCCCCCACGCAGACCTGCTCTCCCTTCATGCTCTACACACAACCACCCAAGGGAGCCTCCCCAAGAAGGACAGTGTCTTAATTTCTGTATAGCCTGGGTGTTTCCTTAATGTGCTGTCACGGGCACAGCTCCCTGGGAGAGGAGCCGACTCTTCCCTTTGGGTGTGTGTCCAGCTGTAGCAAGTCAAGCTCTTTCTGGCAGGTACAGGGGTTTCCTGCTCCCCTTTGTCATGGTGCACACCCTGAGAAGAGGTGGCATGGCTTGGGGAAAGCTCTTGGGTAGCTATAGGTGCCCCCCATCTCTAAGTGGGGACAGAGCCCCCTGACTTCCCTGCTGTGGGGAGGACTTTGCCTGCCCTGGTCCTGCTGCAGCCCTCGGAAGAGGGGAGCAGAGCTGGGCTCTCTGTCCCAAGGCTGGAGAGCAGCAGTTTCACTCCCCAAACCAGAGTGCATTCTTCCCTCCATCTGCCTTCCTCCTGACTGCTCTCCGGGCTGTGTTGTGCTGGCCGCAGGCTCGGGCAGATGCTGTGTTTGCTGCCTTCCCAAGCTTTGGGTCTGATACGGCATCGGTAAATATTTTCACAACAAAAACTAGAGCTAGGTGAGCCTCCCAGATCTGCTTGCTCTCCTTCCCTGTCCGCAACATGCGGGCTGTGTGCGTGGAGCTGCCGTGCTGTCGCTCCGGCTGAAGTAGCCGGCACGTAGCTGTGCTGCCGTGCCATTCTGCACGACCGCAGCTGGGCTATTTATGGGCCTGCACAGATGCTGTGCCAACACACCGAGGCTCAGGGCACGGGGGGGATTAGTCGGAGACTTTATGAATTGGGAGCACAACTGTCGGGATACCAGGCGATGCTGGGTCTCAGCTACAGTGCAGAGCCTCCACCTTCATCATTTTAATGAGATGTGGAATAATAAATTTAAGGGCAGAGCGCAGAAGGGAAGCTGGAAGCCCGGCACTGAGCCCGGAGGAGAGGCACATACTTGAGCAATGTGCTTGGTGCCCTGATACACGTGCACCTTCAGGGCTTGTGCACGGCCACGTGCCTGTTTTGTTGTTCCTAACCCACAGCAGTGATAGAGCCGCCCCGTTAAATGAACGGGTATAAGATGTTGCTTCCTAGCATGTCACCTGTGGGGCCACCAATTTCCCACCAGTGCTCAGCCTTACTCGTGGGCTGCCCTGGCATCGCCCACGGGTGTTACCATCAGTCCAAGCACCCAGGCTTCACGCCGCTGGCTCTCATCTCTGGCGCAGCCTCTTTGCACAGAGGGAGTCAGAAGTTACATACGGCAGTGGGATGCTGGTTCTGCTGTCATTAGATTTTTTTTTCTCTGTGTTGCTAAGCAAATTAGCAAGCTGTTAATGAGCTCCCAGGATAGGTTGTGGGAGGGCTGCTGTGAGGATGGAGAGGTTAGTGTGTGCCATCCTGTGTTGGGGCAGGGAGCACAAAGGGATGCTTGCTTCATGATGGAGAATAGGTCTGGTCTGTTGTCTGCATCTCTTCAGTTCTTGGCTGCTTGACTCCAGTTTGTTAACATCTCATCTTTAGGAAGCGGCTTCCCAGCTCTTTATGTTTAAAGCTGTTTGTTTTGAAGGCAGGAAGATGATTTAACAACTAAAACACTTTCAGATTATAGAAAGAAAATGAGGAAATATTACTCTTGGCTTAAGCCTCTCCTAGCAGTGCTCCACCCAAAGTGAAGTGCATGGTGCTTGCAGCTACTACTGGGTCAGCAGTGTCCTCCCTGTGCTTGCTGAGGTTCAGGGGCCAAGTTTTAAATCTGAGCCTTCGTTATGCTAAAAACAAACCTTGGCTTGTCAGAGCCAGCAGGTTCTGGCTGCTGGTGAGCCAGTGTTTGAGCTGCTTCCCTGTGGGAAGGGGCTGTCGGCAGCGCTACCGTGTGAATGGTCTCACCCTCCCACCTGCATGCCCTGGCCTGATGCTCCTGGCCGTCTACGATGGGCACTGGGCTCTGCCGTGCTCCCCGTCGTGGCGTGGTTCCTGGCTGAGAAGAGCCAAACCCTCCTGCTCCCTGCGTTGGGGCTACGTGGATGCTGAGGGGAGCAGGAGAGCAAAGCCCTGCGCCCTGCTGCGACATTGCTGGGGTTTAGCAAACCTGAGGTGGTGGCAGCAGTGTGAGCTGGGGCTCTCCTGGCTGTGCAAAGGTTTCTGCTCCCGAAATGAGCTGCCTCTGCTTCATTTTCCATGCTGTCATGCTAGTCTCACCAAAGGGTGGCTTGCAATGGAGAAGCTGCTTTTCCTGGTTGGTGTTTCGGTCTCCAGAGCCAAGCTGTCCTGTGCTGTTCCCAGTTGGCCCTTTGGCTCGTGTGCTGAGTCCCCCTCCAGCACTTTGGGGACTCATTTGGCCCCTCAAAGTACACCCAGCGCCCTGTGTCTTCAGCCCGTTCATGGTCCCTCCCATCCCCCAGGCCTAACCTTCATCTTCTGCTGAGGGCAGGGAGGTGCAGCCAAATCCTTCTGTTGTGCAGACTTTAATTTCCATAGTAGTAGCCATGGATACAGACTGTTTGTGCAAATAACCAATATTCCCACCCACACCGATCACTGACCATTGCAGCCATGGACGCCGGGCAGCCCAGGGCTTGGTGTCCCTGGTAGTCCTTGGCTTTACCTGCTGCTGGAGATTTCCTTTCCCAGATGCTCTCTGGGGCTTTGCTAAAACAAAAACTCAACTTTGTCAAATGGGTGGAGTTACTTAACTGCTTTCAAAACACTTGGATTTGTCTGTGTGACTTGTTAACTGTGGTAGAGGCGAATGGTGTCCTCGAGCTTCTCCCTTACAGTGCTTGAGGGTAAAAAAAAAAAAACAAAAACCAAAAAACCCCAAAACAACCAAACAAAAAACCTTGTTCCTAGAGCAAAATGATGCCCTGGTTGTGCATCACCTGGATGCTCTGTGCAGGTGATCTGGGGTCTGGCAGCAGGATTTGCATTCTGGCATCGGCAAACGGGGTCAGGTCTGCTGGCGGCGCTCCCCAGGGCATCCTGGGGACCGCCGGCGGCAGACCCGGCCCTGTTTGCCGATGTAATGCTGTTGCTCTTCTCCGTGTGTCTAGTTTACGTACAAGAGAGTGGTTTGCCTTGGCAAGGGTTTATGGAGTGAAACCTAGATACAACAAATTGGACCTGAGATGTTCTGAGCTTGAAGAGCTCAATGAGATGTCTGGTGAAGGAAGAAGCTGTTTTGGGGCATAACATTGAGTAGCAGCACTAATGAGCGAGGCAGCAATTATATTCATAAGTACGGCTGAGATTGCACTTGTTTGCTACTTGGGCCTCCAGTTTCCTCTCTTTAAAGACTTGTTGGCACTTAACAAAAGCTGTATGAAGTGGCAGAGCTCCCCTAGCACAATCACAACGCTTGAATGGACAAATTTAGTCTGAGAAGAGCCAGCATGCTGCAAGGCTTTGACACTGGTGTGAGTGCTGTTAGCAAGGCTGTACTGGCACAGCGTTAAGGGGTGCGATTTACTCCCCACTTGCAGTTATACTAGTGAAACACAAGGTATAAGCCAGTCTTTGCCTCCTGCGGCAGAGCTCAGGTGGGAGAGCTGGTGTTCACGTAGAACCGATTTTTTTTTCACATAGACTCGCTGCTAACTGTGCTTTTAGTGTTTGTTGCTTTGGCTTTCAGAGCCTGGGGAGAATTGCCTGATGGTAGTGAGGGAAAATAACCCTCCACTTTCAAGTTCCCCACAAACAGCCAGGAAGACACGTGCTTGGTCTCTCTCACACACCTGCACTTTGCTGGGAACAGGTCCCTGAGCTGGCTCCCAGGCAGTGGGCTCAGATAAACGTGGGGCTGGTGCGTGACAGTCAACGGGATCCTAACGCTTGAAGCCACAGCATCACTGCTGGTATCCTGCAGCATGATAGGTCCTGGTCACGTTCTTAAGGCCTTTACTAGCCGTATAAACCAGACCCATTCCTTGCCCATGCTGAGTTAGTGTGAACATTTTGTAATGTGTCTGAAAAACCCACTCTTGCTTTTGTCTCTTTTGGTTAGGTGAGAGAATCCTGGGCTACGCAGAGGAGCCTTGCTATCTCTGGTTCGTCATGGAGTTCTGTGAAGGGGGAGACCTAAACCAGTACGTGCTGTCACGAAGACCCGACCCAGCGACAAACAAGAGCTTCATGCTGCAGCTGACCAGCGCCATTGCTTTCCTGCACAAGAACCATATTGTCCACCGGGACCTGAAACCAGACAACATCCTGATAACTGAGAAGTCTGGCACTCCCGTTCTCAAGGTGGCTGACTTCGGGCTGAGTAAGGTCTGCGCTGGCCTGACTGCTCGGGGCAAGGAGGGTGGGCATGAGAACAAAAACGTGAATGTGAACAAGTACTGGCTGTCTTCGGCTTGCGGCTCCGATTTCTACATGGCACCCGAGGTTTGGGAGGGCCACTACACCGCCAAGGCTGACATCTTCGCCCTTGGCATCATCATCTGGGCCATGATTGAGAGGATAACTTTCATTGACGCGGAGACCAAGAAGGAGCTGCTGGGGACCTACATCAAGCAAGGGACCGAGATTGTGCCCGTTGGGGAAGCGCTGCTAGAAAACCCAAAGATGGAGCTGCACATCCCTCAGAAACGCAGGACTTCCATGTCTGAGGGGATCAAGCAGCTCTTGAAAGACATGTTGGCTGCTAACCCGCAGGATCGACCTGATGCCTTTGAGCTTGAAACCAGAATGGACCAGGTTACATGTGCTGCTTAAATTCAGGGCAGGGCACCGCTGTGCTTTGCAGCTGGGTAAGTGATCTGCAGTTTTTGTGTTATTCTGTCTGCTGTATCAGCCCGATAATGTACTTTGTAGTGACACAAAGGAGTCTTTTATGTTCCCAGAGCTATTTCTATAGTGACTCATCAGAGTACTGCTTCTGAGGTTTTTTTTCCACCTATTCTACTGCAAAAATAAAGTAGAGGTGGGAAACAGAATTAGCAGCTGCATGTCCCGCTGCTGCCCAAAGGCCCAGCAGAGCTGGCAGGACTGGGCAGGAGCCCTGCTCCTCAGAGGTCCTGGCTAGTGGCTGAGACAGGCTGGTGCATGGCGGAGACACCCATGAGCACCCTCTGACATCAGCTTTGTGTACGTCCGTCTCTCCCAGGGGCAGGGAAGTAGCTGCCAGTTCTGCCTTTTCTGCTGTGTGGTGTACTTTCAGTGGTCAGTGCTCTCTAGCACTGTCCCCTTCCCCTCTGAGACTGACAGGACACCTTGGGGCTCGGCTGGCTCAGTGAGCAGGCACCGAGTTTAGTGGCAGGTCCATCTCAGCACAAAGCTCTTTCCTTTGCTTTCACCTACGAGGCACATGAGTCCATCTTGTTTCATTTCCTAAAGGCAGGACTTCCCTTTGGTGCCATCTGCAGTTGCCCAAACCCAGTAGGATGGTTTTGTGTCCAGCATCTGGGTTTGTAGACCTGTGTCTGCTCAGGAAGGAAGCTTACAAAACAGTTGTGTCCAGACTGATCTCAGCTTCCTTCAAGCAGAATCCCCTCCCTCTTCCCCCCAGCTTGGTTCCTAAATAGTCCCAAGCCCAGAGGTCCCAGTCCTGAGGCCTGGGTGGTCATGCATGGTCTGGAAAGACACCCCCCCCCCTCCCCAGGCACATGGGGTAGCCGGTGGTGTCACTAACCTGTGACACCAAATGACTGGGAGGTGTTGCCTGCATGGCAAAGCTGTCTGTAAACAAGAGCTGTTACTAGGGATTCTCCTGGCCAAACAGAATCACAGAAAAATTACAGATTACAAGGGGCGAGGCTGACGTCTTCCCAGCCCAGGTCCTTCTCAAGCTCCTGCAGAGCTGCCTGACTGTTGTTGGTCGCAGGAGACTTCTGACAGCCTGCCTGTGTCAGATGCTGGCATTGCATCTTGGGCTCCCGGCCCTTACCTCAGCCCAAAACCACACAGATCCTGGTGGACCAGAGCAGACCACAGATAACAAGACAGCAGAGAGGGACAAATTGGCTGCCCTGGCCAGCAAACACCCAGCCTTCAGCCTCACAGCCGATGGCTTTGTGCCTGGCCTGCTCCCGAGACCGAGCCTGCAGCAGCAGGGTGGTGGGGAAAGTGGGGGCATTTTGGCAGGTTTTGCTAAAAAAAAAAAAACAAAACAAAACAAAAAAACCCCCAAAAAAACCTTCTTGCTGCCCACCTGAGGGTTCCTGAGGTTATGTAAAGCCTGTCCCCAATGTGTGCGTGTGCCCAGGTAAGCTTTGTGTTGTTTGCAGAGAAATAGGAATATAGAAACGGAAAGGCCCATGGGGTAGGTCTGGTTCTGTCACTTCTGGTTTGTCCAAACTGATCTGCAAACTATCCCATCTGCACCCCTGGCACAAAATATTTAACGCCCTTAAGATCTCCAGCGCAAGTAATTGATGTGACTGCTTCTGCCTGGGGCTGGGTACTGGTCCCAGTGCAAGTGTGAGCTGGGAATTAGGGTGGGGGAGTGAGTCTGCAGAAATGTGAGCTCTTAAGATGGGTGTGATAAAGTCCTGGGGTAAGAGCAGTCCATGTCGAGCCCCAGGGTGAGGCGTGGATCTCCTCCGGATGCGGGGAGCAGCTCTGCTGTGTGGCGGAGGGTCAGGATTTGCCGTTTCCATCTGTGATGGCTCTGTGCTGACACGATGCTGCTGAGTTATGCAACCAACCCGTGCCCTCCGGGGAAAATTCATCCTGCGCATATCTGCAGAATAGTACATGCAGGGATAACAAACACCGAGGGGACAGTCCTACCCCAGGGCTGTTTGCTTAAAACCCAGCTGCCTTCTGCAACACCCCCCCGCCCCCCCCCCTCCCTCC